CGCAATTGCGGAGGTGCCGTCCTAGGGCGATGCTGATGCTTATCTTGTTACTTTTTTTCACTACTTATCTGATGCGTATAAGAGTTTCCTGGGACCACTGGTTGATCCCTGTGGGCGAGGTATATTTGTAATGCAAATACGCTGAGTCGATTTTAGTTACAGTTTCTTGGAGAAGAGACATAATGAAATGTGATAATGAGTTGAATATGGCCAGTACGTTCACATCCTCGGTCACGATGGCTTTTTTTTTTTGACTTCATGCAAGCACAAGTATCGACAGCCTCTGAAAGATTCCGTCTATGCGATTCAAATCAAAGGCCATGAACCAACACAGATGTTATGATTTCCAGGCACTTTCCAACTATGGTGCAGGCTGGGACGCTCTCCTCAGCCCGATGTTATCAAGGAGGCACCACTTTTAAAAATTGATGATGGTGAGATTCGATCTGATATAGATATATATATATATATATATATATATATATATATATTCAGACTCTCTCTCTTTTGTTATTTCTAAATGTCACTCTAAAAGATAGTTGCGTACTATTTTTTTTTGTTTTTTTTCGCTTCATTTTTTTTTATTAGTGTTAGAAAGAATTTTCTTTCTGTATGATTTTGTCAGATTTAGAATCAAGGAATGGCCTCCATAACTGATGTCAAAAACCAATCCGCCAGTGAAGCGAGCTCAGTCCTTATTAGATACCCCACTACTGCGAGCATGGATCAAATTAAGTAATCTTTAATCTCACTTATAAGATATGGTGGTTCTTTAACGTTTGTTCGTCACAGGAAACAACAAAAGGAGAAAGTAAATTAAAAATTAAATAAAGAAGCACACTTGCACGACTAGCGCTTAAATTCTACCATGGCGTTCTTAATTCAGGCCAACTCATGGTGCAACTGAGGACCAAAACTGAAAGTCTATTTCAAGTTAGCCTGAAGTAAAAAAAAAAAAACGCTATGAATGATATATTATGATTCATTTGGAACACGTTTCCCCATTGTATATTACCCGCCTCTCCGTTCCTACGATTAACCTCATCTTGATTGTTCTGTTCATCACAGGTTGATAGTGGATTTTGATGTATCAAAGATTCTGTATTTGTGACCCCCTAAATTTCCACCCTCTATTAGGCATCTAGGTCATTATCCTCCCTTCAAAGACTCGAACAGACAGACTGTATCGCCTGCAGCGGGATATAAGAAACCTCGTTACCTTCCATGTGAATGCTTGCAGGCTCAAGTATAAATTCAAGCAATTTTTAACTGTAGGCTCAATCAAAGAACCGTGTAAGGATTACCTACAGACCAAAGTATAAAGCCGATGACCGCTTATCTATAATCTCAGGTATCTACATTAATATTTACCTACAGAAACACGTGTAAATCTGAACGCTGATTACCTAGACTCAAGTATAATTTTGACTAATGCTGACCAATATATATATATATATATATATATATATATATATATATATATATATATATATCATTATTTTCTTGGGTGTACAGAATTTTATTATGGAAATAAAAATGGCAAGACGTTCTTTACCATTCATGATTAAAAGGAAAAGAGGAAAAAAAAAAATAACCAGCCGACCGGTTTCGCTCTCACACAACAGAGCTGAAATCGAGGGAAGACTAAATATTGCAATAAAAAATATAAAAATATCAGAAGCATGTGATAAAATAAAGGTGGAAAGATCAGATAGAAATCATGTCAAGCCCTAACAGGCATTCCCTCTGTTTACAGAGGGAGGGCGGCCTGGACCTGACATAGATCGTTTCCAATACCTTTAAGTGTAACACAAAGTGAGAATGACTAAGGATGGAAAATGAGTCAATGCTAAAATTTTCTGGCACAACTTGGATTGTTTATAAAGTGCTCAGCAATGGCGGAGCCGTATGTGTTCCTGATATTGTCACAGATTGGAACGTACCATTGCTAATTCTTCCGGGCACGTGCTGGTTATTCCGTACGTTTAACCGTAAGGTAGTTCTACCTATGTAGTCGGCTCCAGAACTACATTCAAAACAGTATATTACATTATTAATATGGTGGGGAGGCAGAACGTCCTTACTAATAGACGCCTATATATAGAAGACATATCTTCATTTAACCATCATTCATTGAACAATATCGACATTTTGTGCCTATTTATGTTTAAATTCATCCTTTTCTTGATGAATTTCATCCTAACGTCGAGAAAAGGTTTTGTTTTTTTTTTTGTTTTTTTTTTTAAGCATTTCACCCCAAGCAAAGAAGGAAGCCACTAGGACGCAAGGGGTTACAGAAAATTTAGAGCAAGATCAGATAGGAGTGATAGAAGAAAGGATGAGGGTAGTGGATAGATCAAGGCAACTGGAGATGTCGATTGACATTACACTTGAATAGCTGGAGATTATAGCTCACAGGGAAACAGGAGAAGGGAAGGGAGTTCCACAGGCGAGAGGTGCGAGACATGAAGCTATTAGAGTAGAAGAGACGGCTACATTTAGGAGTTTCGACAGTGAAGGGGTGAGAGCGGTATGCCAGCCTCGTAAGGCGCTGGAACTCGTGACGTCTGGGAACCAGCGAATGCAGCTCCTCGGAGCAATTTCCATGGAAGTATTTGTAGAACAGACAGAGGGAGGTTTAAATATCTGGAAAGAATCAGTCTAAAATTATATAGACCCACAATGTCTTTATTGTCCAATGAAACGTGTTTGAACACACACACACACACACACACATATATATATATATTTATATATAGCTTTGTTCTTTATAAGCCTACTAGGAAAAAGAAACACAAGTAAATGACTTCCCACGGTCTGTTCTTCAGTCGAGAATCGGGTCCGTCACTAATTGTGCCTAGGAAGCCGATGGTCATTTCTCTAAACGGAACCGCTCCATTGCAAAAACAGGCTATATGTTCTTATATGAGGTCAAGGCGGGAAGATCTGAGAACATCTGTCTTAAAAAAAAAAATATATATATATATATAATTTTAAAAATATATATATATATAATTTTTAATTAAATGACTAAAAAAAACTTATCGCAAGTTGAGGATGAGATAAATCAATTTAAATTTTAAAAAATATTGGGAATAACATATACGCAATATATATATATATATATATATATATATATATATATATATATATAAATATATATATGTAAAAGTGAACAATGAAGTCAACACTTAGAGGCCTCTAAGTGTTGACTTCAGTGTTCACTTTTATATTTACACACGCTCTATCTATATTGAGCCTTTTTTATCCCATAAATATAGCACACCTTAACAGTATATTTCTTTATATATATATATATATATATATATATATAGTAAATAGATGACTAAAAGATTCAAAAAACTTATCGCAATATAAGATGTCAATTGAATTTGTTAAAAAATATTATGAGTAACTTATAAGTAACATATATATATATATATATATATATATATATATATATATATTCAAAGACCAAGATTTTAGTGTGGCCAAAAGACTACCTGCCAAATATCCTTAAAAAGATTGAATCACTAATAAAAAAAAAGAAATAAAAATATATACCTATTTTTTTTTCTAACTTGAATTAATTTTGACTTTTAGTTAAATTTTCATTTTTATGCTTTGGCTATGGAGGTGAGAAACTTGACGTTGTTTCCGTAGTTGTTGAAACTTCCGTTTTATATTTAAATCGATCGGAATAACATGATAGAAAAAAAGAAAACCTCTGATTTTTCCTGTGTACTGCGTTTTGTTTTTCTTCAGGATTCAATACATTGTTCTTTTTCCTTTCCTGTGTATCCAGATAGGACTCAGCATCAAAACCGAATTAATATGAAATACACGACAGTAACACCAAGATATATTTTTTCCTTTCATTATTGTTCATCCTTACACAATACTGAAATTTAGCTCGTTGATATTCATTGCATTCTTTTGAGGACCTGTCTTTCAAATTCATTAAAGAATCTGGAATCATTTGGAAGCAATGAATTTATCTTATAAAAGAACAACTAAAACTCGAACAATTACGATTATCCAACACATTTTTCGGAATATTATCTTCATCTATGTTATTTCCATTTTAAATTTTCAGCCGATATTTTCTCCGGCTTTCCTTAAATAAGATCCATTCTCCGGTAACGTTCCTTGCTTTTTCTTTTATCCAGCTGAAAAACATTAAATATTTTATGTTCACCAGTTTTTCTTTTGTTCTTATTGACTTGATTAACGTTGTCATTTTAATATGACAAGACTTAAGGTCCAAGGACTCAGTTCCATCTAAAATAGCAGAGATGAAGACATTCGACACAAAAATGAAAAATTTAAGAATACTGTAAAATGCTTTATCTCTCGGACTTAAGGACAACAGTTAATCAAATCCGGTAGCATACATGTTATCGACGCTGAAAATGGAATCGTTCAGACGGGTTTGAGTCCTCGTCTAGTGTGTTGCGTTCACTTTCGCACGAATGCCGTTGGAAAAGAAATGAGCTATCTCTTTTTAACCAGCCCGCGGATATACGTTAAATAGCAGTATAGTCTGAGCCCTTGGGTGGAAGCCAATCGGGAAAAAGTTCTACTTTGAATTCCAAATCATAGAGAAAGCAACAGATAAACTGAATCACCTTCATTCCCAAGTAGTCATGGTAATTTACAAATATTAATGGAAAATACTGTAGAGATCCATGGTTGTCTACGTCCCGAAGGGAAATGGCGTTTTTAAATAAATGTTTTGTTTACTTGTAGCATTATCTCTGGTTTAGATTTGATTTCATTTGGACTTTAAATAAAATCGTCATATATATATATATATATATATATATATATATATATATAATATGTCGTTTACAGTGTAATATTTGTATGTATTCTGGTTTCTTTTCCTTTATTTTTGTTTTTCTGTTTGAATTTTTTTCTTCTTTATTTATATTTGTCCCGCTTTGAAGTGAATACAATGAATGTTCGGACCTTCGTAAATTGCGAATCGAAAATCGCATTTAGCTACTCAGTCGTTCAATACTGTGAGTAATTTCCCCACGCGACCGATTTATGATGGCCTCCTCCTGGTTGTTAGCGAGATATTGCTCATGGCGCAGTTTCGTCTTCTCACTAACAATGGCAATGGAGTCGTCATCATCGTCGTCATCGTCATCATCTTCATCGTCGTCATCATCTTCCTGCTCAGCCCGATCGTTTCTTTCGATTACCTCCCCTTCTTTTTCAATAATGCCGTTGTTTCTAACTTTACTCATATCATTATTAACATTGTTGTTGATACTGCAGCTGTTGTTATTGCTTTTATTAACGTTGTTATTATTATTATTATTACTATTAATATTATTCGTATTGTTGTTATTCCCACTACTTCCTGCTCGTCCATTTAAACTTGTATTTTCTTCAGGACCGTTGCCGGTATTATTAGAGACATGTCCGCTGGGGCTGTATATGTCAGGGTGGTGGTAATCGACGTCTATTTCAATGTCGACGTCGCTTGGAGAGGTGTCCGGTCTGTCGGCCGTCGGAAAACCGCACTCAGCCGAATCGGAACCGTAAGACCTGTTCTCACGTTCCCGATTCCGTTCTCGTTCGCGATCTCGTTCTCGTTCGTATTCTCGTTCACGCTCTCGTTCTCGTTCGTAATCTCGTTCCCGTTCTCGTTCCCGTTCACGCTCTCGTTCGTAGTCTCTTTCTCGGTCCCGCTCACGTTCGTAGTCGCGTTCTCGCTCGTATTCTCGTTCCCAGTCGCGTTCTCGCTCCCGCTCGTTGTTGATCCTCTTTAATATAGAGCTCGATGAATTTGAACCCGGCCCGGATATTTGTGGCTGCGTTGGCTGTGAAAGGTGCGGCTGATGCAAGTGGTGCGATGGGGGTTGCGGAGGGGGTAGCGAGAGAGGGAGCGATGATGGCGGAGACATTTGTTGTTGATGATGTGAGTGTTGGACAGGTGAACAAGACCGATGAGGTTGAAAAGAAGTTGGCGAGCGTGGTGAGTGTTGTTGTTGCTGTTGTTGCTGATGGAGATGGTGATGTGAAGACGGTGAGGGAGGTGACCGCGACCTCGGGTGATGCTGCTGCTGCTGCGGAAGATGCTGCAGCTGAGGGGGTTTGTGCGTCTGGGAGTGTGCCGGTGGCGGCGGCAGCGGGGGAGGCGGAAGATGGTGCTTAGCGTTCGGGGACAGATGTGCGAAGGCCAGAGGCGGGGGTCCTGCATTGACAGACCCCGGACTGTTCGCACCCCGGATCGCGCCGCTGCCACCGTTTTGGGACAGGTGCGACGTTATTAAAACCGCTGACGTGGGCGATGATGATGATGACGAAGAAGATGAAGAGGAGGATGGTGGTGGCAGAGGCGGTGGTGGCGGTGGTGGCTGTTGGGGCTGTGGTGGTGGTGGGGAGCCGGGACCGTGTTGGGGCTGACGCTGCCAGCCATGTTTCAGGGGCTGCTGGCGCTACTTCGGCTTCCAGTGCTGCTGTTGCTGTTGTTGTTAGGATTGGCAGCGTCCACTTGGCCCCTGGAGTCCCGCTGCGAATCCCGTATGAGGGCGTTTTTGTGTTCCTGTGCTTCGGCATTTGATATGTTTTCTTGCTTTTTCCATTTTGTTCTTCGATTCTGGAACCAGATTTTCACCTGAAAATACATGAGAAATATGTTGATTTTATCCTTTGCTGATATGAATACATTGAGATAGATAGATAGATAGATAGATAGATAGATAGATAGATAGATAGATAGATAGATAGATAGATGTGAACAAGCATAGATAGATAGATAGATAGATAATGAACGGGCTGAGATAGATAGATAGATAGATAGATAGATAGATAGATAGATAGATAGATGTGAACATGCATAGATAGATAGATAGATAGATAGATAGATAGATAGATAGATAGATAGATGGATAATGAACGAGGCTGAGATAGATAGATGGATGGATAGATAGATAGATAGATAGATAGATGGATGGATATATGGATAGATGTGAACAAGCATAGATAGAT